GTCAAACAAGTGTCAGCTACTTCATAGTGTCCCTGACCAGATTCCAGGACTCAGACAAGTTCACAATGGGTATTGGGTTGTGTTCAGTTGTCTAGGTTTGCCTTTGAACTCTCTCCCCTTCCTAGTTACATGAAACTCAGGAAAGTTGCCAAATAGTAGTTCTTGACTTCACAGTGTTCCAGTATATCCCTTTCATATTTTGTGGAACTAAGCAGGCTAAATTTGACCAAATATCAAGATACCTTTTAAGTGAAACTTAACCCAGCTGCAGGTCAGCTCCATGCAGAACAACAGTTATCTGCCTGGGCACAAAGACAAAGTAAAGTCTTATTTTTATAACAAAAAAATTAACCTCTGCATTAAAGTTGTACCTGAATGCAAAATCATATTCTTTCACCAATAGTACCACTTACACTTCAGCAACTCAGAGGAACTCAGTCTTATTTTGCTTACTACTTACTTCCAATAAAAAAAAAGCCTGGTGGGGACAAATGTCACTCAAGAGGAACAACTCAAGGCACACAAGTGCTCTCGCTGACCATGGGACTGGAAAGTTAAATACCCACAATCCTCACTTCAATTATCACAGAAATACTACTTTTAACTTCACATTATGTCTCTGGCTTCTTAATCCACTTTAGTTAACAAGTTCACCAAATCAAGCACATATTCTGAAACTTTTACTAAAACCCTTATGTCACTCATATATGTCTTCTTTGATAAATTCTGCTGAAAATCTGATAGTTTCTGCTATACTAGCAAAATGTTTGTTTTTCCCAAAGAATATCATTTAATGTTTTAAGCAAATGAGATCTAGAAAATTCTATTCATTTTCTTTTTAGCCTCAGTTGCTAAGTTTGGAGTGAAGATTTATGTGTCATCTCAGTAATTATTATTACTCTAAGGGTTGGGTTTTTACATTTTTTAAAAAGCACAACATTCTCCCTGCCCTTCTATTTGTGACTGTTGGAGCTGCTATAGCCATTTGCTCACAGGCAGGGAGAGGTTGCCTGAAAATAGAGCTCACATGAAGGAAGACAAGATAAGGGATGGAATAAGAGAAAATGGGATCTGCTAACATCTTTTGAGCCTCTGGATCAAGATGTGCCCGAAGTAATACCCCTGTTTTTTTCCAGTAAATTTTTTTCCAATAAATTTCCTTTTGAGTTTAGCCACTTAGAAATAGATTTTCCTTCACTTAAAAGTTCTCACAATGAAAAAGGGGTTTGAGATTATTTGACAAGAACTGCCATTACTGTCATTCATTTTCTTAAAAAAAAAAAATTGGCTTTATGAATGACACAAGAAAGTAAAACTTTTGGATGTCATGTTTATGTCATGTCAAATTTATAATAAAAATAAGTTACACATTCTTTCAAAGGAATTAGCATTAAAGAAAGAAAAAAGAGAAAACAAGCCTTTTAACTGCCATTCTTATTGACAGTTATCCACAAGAGCAGAAAAGAGGAGCTTAGTAAAGAATCTTTAGACACAAAAGCAAAAGAAGGAGGAGCACTGCAATACCTACAAGAAACTAATTTTCCAAGAAACACACACAATGTTCTAAGTGCAAACTTGGAACATACCTTCCAGACCAAATCAGGATCAAAATTAAAAGTTGAAGCTTCCTGCAAGAAGATAAATTACAAATAACTTTATTCACTTGGCTTCCTTTCATTTTTCATTCAGGTAACTTTAGCTCCCAGGCTCAACTGGCTGGTAGTAGATGTGATGTCTGCAAAAGAACTGCCCCCAATTTGACGCAGGCAGATGATATTTCCCAAGGTTCACCCCAGAAAAACACATTTTCACAACTCCAAAGTCCAGGGCGGGTACACAAAAATCTAGAACTACCAGACTGTGGTTCTAAATAGTGCTTAAATTTAGGCAAGATTTCACAGACTTTCACAACAAAAGTCTTTTGTGAGTTTATGCAAAGCGTGTATATGGGGACAATGGGGATTGAAGCACACCCTTAGTTCCTCTAAAAAGCAAGAAACAAATAAGGATAATCTGTGAGCCCAATTTAGTCTATGAAATCTCTTCTTTTTTTTTTTTTTCCTTTGAGACAGTGTCTCACAACGTCTCCCAGGCTGGAGTTCTGTGGCAAGATCTTGGCTAACTGCAACCTCCATGTCCCAGATTCAAGTGATTCTCCTGCCTCTGCCTCCTGAGTAGCTGGGATTACAGGTGCCCGCCACCACGCCTGGTTAAATTTTTTTTTTTTTTTTTTTTTGAGACGGAGTCTTGCTCTGTCGCCCAGGCTGGAGTGTAAAGCTCCGCCTCCCGGGTTCACGCCATTCTCCTGCCTCAGCCTCCCGAGTAGCTGGGACTACAGGCGCCTGCCACCACGCCCGGCTGATTTTTTGTATTTTTTAGTAGAGACGGGGTTTCACCGTGTTAGCCAGGATGGTCTCGATCTCCTGACCTCGTGATCCGCCCGCCTACGCCTCCAAAGGGCTGGGATTACAGGCGTGAGCCACTGCATCTGGGCCTAATTTTTGTATTTTTATTAGAGACGGGGTTTCACCATGTTGGTCAGGCTGGTCTCAAACTCCCGACCTTGTGATCTGCCCGCCTCGGCCTCCCAAAGTGCTGGGATTACAGGTGTGAGCCACTGCGCCCCGCCAAGAAATCTCTTCTTAATTTTAAATTCTATCAAGGCACTAGATGACACCAATGTTTACCCAGGGTTAAAATACAACAGGGTCTCAAGTTCCACTCACTAGGCTGAAGGGTCAGTTCGATTTGGTAGTCAACTCTAAAGCCTGTACAATATTCCCACCAATTTCATAGAGGTGTAATGTACAAAATTAGACGAGATCACAGCCTCCAGCCTGAGCTATACACACGGCTGAGATGACCCTCTACCAGCTGCCTCCTTAACTCAATTTAGGTATGTTGAGGATAGATGCTAATGGGACCCAGACTTCTCTGTTGACAAGACAGAAGGCAGTGCTTTTGTAAGTTAACAGGCAACCAAAAAGACAACAGAAAAACCTGAGGATCAGTTTCCTGAAAATTATATTGATCTTCATTTGTCCTAAAAATACAAATGCCTTATGCCTACAAATCAGCAACATTGCCATCCATAGAAGGAGAACTCTAGGTTCAATTTACTGATAATATGTGGATATGAATTTGCCCTAGAATTCAAGTTTCTCTGCCTTCTCATGTAGATAACCTGAGTTTTTTATTTATAATTTTTTGTTTTATAATAAAACATAATGCTAGAAACAACAAACTAGGATCAAACATATTTTTCTACTTTAAAAAGTCACAAAAAAGGTACCAATTGTCTTTGTATGGAGACATTTACCAGGAAACTACCCACCACATTAGAAGAGGTGTTTCTCCTGTTTTTTCCAAAGGCCTTGGGAACTCACTCTTTTTTTTTTTAAATGATAATTTGGAAATAGATTATATATACATCCTCTTCTCCATTACTATTTGTGCTGACTTGGAAGGTGGGTGTGGAGGTGGGTGGAAGGGGGACTGAGTCACCCTTTGCAAAAAAAAAAAAAAAAAAATCAAGTGTTTTGTCCTTTTGTCATTTTCCCTTTTTTTTTTTTCTTTTCTTTTTTTTAAGCCTTAACCAAGTATCAGGGTTGATTCTAATATGAAGTGAGGATAAACTCTGAATTATGAACCACTGGCCTACCATTCCCCGGTGTAGAATGTTCAGTTTCTTTTCAAAATGTTTAAATTATATAAGTTTAAAACAACTGATGAGCCAGGGTTAATAATTATTTTTAATCCTATTGGCATTTGGTGGCTTCAAATATATTTTTCAAACCCAGATGCTACAAATACATTATGAGTGCCTTGACTCATGTAACCTCATTTGGGGGACACATAGTTTTAAAGCAAATGACCTATACTATTTTCACAAAAATCCACTTGGATGAAGAAGTTGTCATTGAATAAGAAAAACAATCCCTACTCAGAATTGCACATGCCAGTAATTCAAGAGCTCATATTAGTTTCTTTTCCCTCAAAACTTGGGAATTTGGGGACAGATAATTCAAAATCATATGTTGCAAGAAGTATTGAGAAGACTCCTCATCCTATCAGCAAGCTTTAGAATTCTCTTGCAGGCCCATGGTGACCAGCAAACTCCCTGAGTGTTAAACTTGAGCATGGAATTTTCAGATTGCAAACATCTTGGTTATAAACTTAGTGTTTCTTAATGGAACACATTAAATCAAGAATTATTTATTATTGAGATAAATACTTTACTATTTGCACCCTTCTGGCAAAAACTGTAAATAAAAAGTTTTCAAATTTCTAGATACTAGCAAAGAAATTGAGTTTCATTTAGACCAGTTTCTTAATCACAGATCATGACTTGGCCTTGCTCATTTACTTCATGATTCCTTAAATGTCCTGAATCCTCTCAGAAGGATTTTTCTATTCCTTTAAACAGTGTATCTCTATGCCTGCACAGCTAAATAGGATACTTTGCAAGTATTTAGTAAAGTGTTATTACTTCCAGACTTGGTTAGCAGAAAATACTGGGGTCACAAGAAAGTTTTTTTCTTAAAAAGTATTTCAATTTTGAAAATTTTGCTGATAGCATAATTTTAATTATTTAACAATACCACTGCATGTAAAATAACTTCCCTTTGCCAACTCTTAATTTCTCAAAGGTGCTTTTTATTGTGATGTGAATAGGAGGAAAAGAATTATTATAGTTTAAAAATTTTACTTTTAAAACACACACAAAACCTTCCCAGGACTAGACATGCTTTGCAAAGGAACCCAGCTCCTTTCAGCCAATGGATTCTTGAGCCCTTTATTCTTTTGCCCAGAAAAGGAATCCTAATTAAAGGGCCAATAAATTAAATGTGCCCAGGAAGGTAAAAAATTTCAGAAGTAAAGCACCCAGCAGGGTGCCTAGAGAAAAACACAAGGTTCATTTCATGTTTATATTAGGCACCACCAAGTTAGAACAAACTCCCAAGGCATAACTGTTTCTGACAAAAGTACACAGTTCCTACCTTCATTTCGATGACAGTCTGGAGAGCCTTCGTCTTGGCTGGCTCCGGCTGAAGCTGGCTTCTTCGGTGCAATTCCTGGGGAGGAACACGATAGAAATAAGCCTGACGGTTCATCCTTCCGTTATACCATAACCTTTATAGAGGTACTACACAGCCTGCTGGGTCCAGTTTCCCTGTGCACAGACATAAACAAGCCACAGGTGCCTCTTCCCCCACACTCTTTAGCATCCCTCCTGCCTGGAGCCTGCGTTCCAGCGAAAAGCTCCTGGCACATGCGCTATTTCTGAAACTTCCATCAATAATTAATGTCAACTGTGACAAAGCCAGCAAGTAATCATAGTCCAAATACTGTTCAACACTGGGGCTGATGCCCAGCCATCAAATCATAATTTACTAAATTACATTACTCTGTGCTCCCAATACAAACACAGCAAGGAAACAGAGGAAAGAAAATGACTAACGTGGTTGCAAATCCGCTGCACGCATGGCATTTTGCTACCGAGGTAGGTTTGAAATGAGCAATTTAAAACCATTTGAGTACAACTGTGTCACTTTTGAGAGTGATTTGATGAAACCCTGTGAATCTCTTGCTTCCGAATTTACAGTTTCAGTCCTTGTTTAAAATCACATCTGTGGGTGATATATTTATGTATCATGATGCCAAGAAATTAAAATTGGCATTAGTATCAACAGTGTTAGAGGGGAGAAAAAAATTGTTAAAGCCAGATGTGGACCCAAAAACCCCTGTAACGATGATGAACATTTATTTAGGTAAAAAGCAAACACCACGATTACAATTTTTATCTTGAAGGGTCACTTTTTATAAGCTTCTCCTCAAAAGAACACTTCTGTTGAGACTTTGAAAAGTTGCCTTAGCAGAAGAGAGAGATAAGGACAATGTGTGCTCAGATCACACTTGGATTTTCTTAACTATCAACAGTTTTAGCAGAGTGAGAAATTGGCAGGAGTAAACAAAAGTGCTCACACATACGCATGCTGCTGATTCAGGTCACCTATGGAATAATTCTATCAATACTTACTTCTGCTTCCACAAAAATCAGTTTAGAGTCAACATGGGGTAGTTCTAGACTTTCAGAACCACTGAATCACAAACATTTACTTTTTTAAAAAAAAAGGAGTTAAAAAAGAGAATCAATATCATTTCTAGCTTTCTGCAAGTAAAGGCATTTAAAATTAACTCTACCTCCACCACTATCATCTACTATCACTGTCACTTCAAAAAGATATGACATGGGGTCGGGCATGGTGGCTCACACCTGTAATCCCAACACTTTGGGAGGCCGAGGTGGGCGGATCACGAGGTCAGAAGATTGAGACCATCCTGGCAAACACGGTGAAATCCCATCTCTACTAAAAATACAAAAATTAGCTGAGCATGGTGGCGCATGCCTGTAATCCCAGCTACTTGGGAGGCTGAGGCAGGAGGATCACTTGAGCCAGGGAGACAGAGGTTGCAGTGAGCTGAGACCACACCACTGCACCCCAGCCTATGACAGAATGAGATTCTGTCCAAAAAAAAGATAGGACACATTAATGTAAAAGCTATCAGAACACTCAAGACCCACAATAAAAGACAGTCCTATCCAGGATAAGATAAGCAGGCAATCTTTTGCCCACATCCTATTATGCTATTCTTATTATATTTGCCAGTGGCCCAAGAAATCTTACAGGTGGACCATAGGGCACATGTCCAAGGACCAGTGTAGGGGAGTTAATGCTACAGCTCTGGACCAGGAATCTGAAAATAATATTTTCTTCTCAAACTAATCACTGGCACAAATCAGCCACCCTGTACAAAGCTCTTTCTCAACCTCCAATTTGAAAACTATGCTTCCTAACTATTCAAAATGCTCTTGCATCAGTCAGGATATTTTTTCCCCTAACATATCCCTGGGAAGGGATGAAGTCAACTATTACCAAACATTTATGAATAGAGAAATAGAAAGAGATCCTGTGTCCCTCTAGAGGCACTGGACTGCAATCATCTGGCAACACTACCATTTTTGGACTCTGAAAATGGCGGAGATTTTCTGAAGGAAGGACCTTAAGGCAGCTGTCCTTTTTGAGCAGCTGTGATGTTCCTAGCACTGCTTGTCTCATTCAAGCCTCAGCACTACCAAATGAAGATGTTGTATATGGTGAGCACAGTGGGCTGCTGGAAATTTTAAAAACCTGCACCTACCATGGCCAATACCAAGCTACCCAAGTGGAATCCCTGAATGCAGACTTGGGAAGGGAGACACAATAGCACCCCCCATTGTATGGCATTTTCTACCACACAGACACAATAAATGTAACAACCTCAAGATCTTAGATAATAGTAAAGTGTAATAAGAAATTAGGAAGTTATGAGTTTTTAATGTAATCTATTTAATTGTGTGTTTGTATATTTAATTTGTAACTTTAGTTATTAGAACAAGTTTCCAATCAATTTGGAATCAATATATGGCTTTTTTCCAGCTTTCATGGGTCACTACAACCCAGTGCCAACATAGCACTGGGTGGATCCTATGAGATTTCAACCTATACAAAGAAAAAATCTACTTGGTCCTCAACATTACTTCCAAGATTGCTGGAGTTCACTGGACCAATAAAAACTCATAGACAAGAAAACAAAAAGTAAGTCACTTGTCAGAGTTTCTCTGTAGCAACTGTTAGAAGAAATATATTTCACAGATCACCCATTCTGATGCCAGGTGGCACTGAAATCATCTTTTTAAAAGCCAGGAATGCAATTCATAATAATTTCATGCCATAACAATTCCAAGTTCCAGAATGAAAATTATAACTTGAAGAGAGAGGTTAGGCTTGTATAAAACAAGGAAAAATAATGAAGAAACGACTAAGCAACACAGTGAAAATAAAAATCCCAGGGTAGAGGCAGGTGCTGCTGTAATTTCTGCCAAACACAAAAACATTGTCAAGGGTAAACATGCAATAAAAAAGCTAAACTTGTAGCAATAGTTATGCAAAAATGGAAACAGAGTTCTCTTTGCTATAATTATACAAATTATATTATAATACAAACCAGCTAAAAATCCAGATTGGGCCCTTACCCTCTGTGTCACTCCTTTAAAAATAAAATAAAATCTCCAATTATCCAAGAATTGTAATTTTCTTAATTACAATATTTTTCAACCCTGACTTCATAGATTATGAGGATCACCTTGATTCCTAAGGTGTCAGGTAAATGAAAATTGTAATCTATATCCAGACAACATGGACTGTCTGAAAATCCCATCTCAAACACTTCGCCTATCTCTGAGATTTGGGATTATTATAATACTCACTCTGTGGCAGAGGACCAGTTGCCCAAGGAAGGTTTGTGCTCCTCTTCCATACTATAGAGTTGTTGCTAGAAGGCCCCACAACCACTACCTAGATGGGGCCATGGGACTTATTTCTGGCCAGTGGAATGTGGTTAGAAATGTGCAACTCAATCAACTTCCATAAAAACTTCCTAACTGGTCCTCAACTCTCCCTCTTTTTCTTTTGTTTGAACACCTGTTTTTATTTTTTATTTTTTATTTATTATACTGTAAGTTCTAGGGTACATGTGCACAATGTGCAGGTTTGTTACATATGTATATATGTGCCAGGTTGGTGTGCTGCACCCATTAACTCGTCATTTACATTAGGTATATCTTC